CGTATTTTATTTGATGAGAAAATTCTAAAAAGATTCATTCATTCATTATTTCAATCAATTATTGATATGTAATAGAGATAAATGTTTGATTTGAGAATAAATTTAAACATTTTAAAACATCATTTAAATGAGCTTGAAAATATGAAATAGAATACAGTGGAGAAGAAATAGGAAGCACAGAGAAATGGAGCAAAAATATGACGCTGCAAAATTTTAAACTGAATTTTTGAATTAAAATTGAGATAAATTGGAAATGTAAATTTAAATCAATATGCATTATAACTGTTATTGTTAATATTTTCATTTATCATGCATGGGAAGCGTTTCTTGAAAGAATTGTCAGATTTTCTTCCTTCACCTATCAAATTTTAAGTTCATCGATAAATGAAAATGTGAGTGAGTGTCGTCTGAGCTGTTCAAACTTGATAGCTATTAGTTGATTGTCCCATTAAAAATTTGGAAAATTTAGAATTCTTTGTATAAAGAGAGAGAAAATGAGTTGTTGACATCGAAATAATAAATTAATGCATTCACAAATATGCAATTGAAATTGAAAAACTATTTCTTATTTGTCAATTATTACAGAAAGAAAGAATTAATTAGTATGATTGAATATTAATAATAATCTCATCTTTGATAGCAAATTGCATAATAGTTCATTTATTTTTCCTGTTTACGTAACGTAACGTTTTAGACACGTAAGGAATTCTAATAGCTTTTTAGTGGCAAAACAATAAATGAGGAGCTTTCAATGTATTGTTTACCAAAAAAGATTAAAATTTCAAAGATATTTAATTTCTTTTGCTTAAGAAAGTTTTAAAGTTAAAATTTTATATGGAAAAACCTTAAAATATAATAGAAAATTTACAAAATGTATCGCGCAAATCTCAAAATATGTTAGTGCGATTCTGTCAGTTCAAGAAGAAAAAAATGAAAATTTTGCGCTATCTGATTACTGTAAAATGAGTGCGCAACTATTTGAAACCAAATTTTAATTGATAATTGGTGATAAAATTATTCAATACATTAATACGATTTACTATAATCTCTCTGATTCCCATGAAACATCAAAATATGTAATTAATTCTTTCTGTCAATTTTATTTCTATCCTTAAAGTACAGTTCTGGCCTATAGTTCAATTTTTTTTCAGATTTAATCTTTATTAATTGAATTAAACTTCAGATGTTAGAGCTTAAGTATCTTCATAACTTGCTCTTAATAATTTATTTATTTACTACTTTATTAAATCTTTCATTGCCTCGCATTATCACAAATTAAATTTAACGCCACTTTAGTAAAATTCATATAGCTGAACTAGCTAACATCTTTTCATTTATTTACAAGCGTAAAATGTTAACTTATGATAAGGGATGATATTCGTAAATCTCCGAATATAATATTAAAAGTGATTGGAAGCGAATTGTTTACTTTCTTTTAAGATAGTGACAATAAATTTTAACGAACAAATTGCATTTAGAAATAACTTTAAAGTCTATAAAGAATGCTTCGTCGATGGAACGTTTTGATTCATTGAATTATAATTATGTAAATTTCTCGTTACGTAAAATTTTCAATGAAAGTGAACGATTGATAGGATTAATTTTTCACGAATTAAAAGCTTTAAAAAAATTCTCATACCGATAAACGAATATGAATTAATTGTTCGGCTAAAGAAAACGAGTATTAAAAGGAAATCGGATGAGGAATTTCAATTCATCTTAAAAACCAATTGAAAATGGAGCATTATCATTCGATGTTAATATGGGCTGTAATCGTTTGCTTTAAAGAATGAGTCGTTTAAGAAAATGTTAGGATTGTGCTTTATGCTACAATGTTCCGATAAAAGAAGGAGGTTAAAGGTCTCGCAAGCAATTAAAGCTTACAAAATGGCAAAGATTGATAAAAATTCTTCGCTTTCATTATTGATTGCTTTGTTAATCAATTCATTTGCTTAGGAATCAGCGCAGTCGGTTGATCAAACAAACAAAAAAGAGAACGACTGACGAGGCAGCAATGCTCTCATACTTTCACATTTGACCCCAATGTAAACAAACTTCTCCGCATTATACCGTGCCATGTGCTAATGGAAACATTTACAGTTAACTGATTCCGGAAACGGAAATAAACAGAAGTTGAAAAATATTGAGCAAATAAACGATAGCCATATAAGCTAATAACAATAAAAAAAATTCGCAATGTTTAGAAAAAAGATAGATTTGTTGATCAAGCAAGTAGTTTGACATTTTAAAAAATTTATTAAATTTCAAATTTTGCAAAAAAAATTATGAAGTTGAATGCAATTCAATTCAATACAATAAAGCATTTTCCTGAAAATTTAATAAATTTTCAATCATTGTTCTATCACCAAAAAAAAAGAAAAAATGAAAAATTTTTCCGAAGAAAGCAAACAAATTGCTCGGTATGTTTGCATAAATTTTTGAAAAAATAAAATTACAACACAGAGATGACATTTGTCGTTTGTTCATCATCGAGCACTTCACCAATGAAAATGCCAATATCGCAGATTTGCAATACTGTAAAATCAATTAATTGTTGAATTAAACAGTTTGCAATAAGAAAGAACGATCTTTTGAAAATTTCAAAGAAATCAAAATTTAAACTTTTAGATAAGTTGTTGACAACGTCATTTGTCTTGAAAAAAAAAAAAAAAACTTTGATCGATGATTTATTCATTCGTTATCAACCAAGTTATCGAGAAGGAAATATAATAATTAAAAAAGATATAATCGATTAAAGTTTTTAGAAATATGTCAGATGACAGTGAAATGCCGCATAAATATAAACAATTTCATGCAAAAATTTTCTTTTCATCTTGGAATATCAACTTTTCAATATATCTTTTTTACAATCGATCAACTGAAATTCAAATTTACAGATCTAATTGAATTTAATTCTTCAAAAGAGTGAAGGAGAGAAAGAGAGAAAGAGAGAGAGAGAGAAAATGACTTAATCAGTATTTGATGACAATAAAAAATACGAAAAGATAAAAGAATAGAAGATATCAAAAGCAAATAAAGGAAGAGGTAATTACTGGAGTGTAACACAAAGATAATTAATGTCTTGAGATAAATTAATATAACGATAATTGTGTTACGAAATGATATCGCATAAGCGCAAGAAATGCGCAATAGTTATAAAATTTGATAATTATTCCTATTTTATTATGACCTTCCCTTATCATAATTGTACTTTTCGCTAAAATTATAGTAAAATAACGATAATTCACTCAAATATTTCATTATTTTCAACTAGCAATAAATTGCTTACTTTATTTTGGAGTAAAAAATTAGACTTATCGATATCAAGCATTTCTAAAAAGTCAAACTTTAACCTAATTCATTGAGAAAAGATTTTACATTTCCACATAGTGTAATACCATAAAATATATTTTCTTTTACATTTGTAACAATTGATGATATAATTATCTAATTAAAAAGATTCAAAGACAGAAAAAATTCGATCATAACTTATACGTTTAAAATTAATAAGAAAAAATGAATTAATATTAAAAAATTTGAGTAAAAATATGGGAAGTAGAAGATTAAAATCAATATTTCGATATGATATGCGTCATTTACAACCATGACAACAATGTCAACAAATAAAACTCTCTTAGCAAGATGTTAGAATCTAAGTGATACAGCGATACGAACATTTACGCATCATTCAGGATTGATATCATTCCGGATTATATTAAACAATTTAGTTATTGATTTTCCTGTAATACTGTACGTCTTCTCGATTTGTGACGATTTTACACTTCCAAATTAAATGAAACGTCAAATTGCTGGAGCTAAAATGCAATGGAATGAAAATTTAAAGTTCTATAATTGCATTCTACAATTTGTTTTCTGATAAAATGATTATGTAAAAGAAAAAAAGAAGAAAAAACAGTACAATTTTAAAAATAATTCAAAAATGTAACGTTAATGAGAAAAAGGTTGAATTTTTGAAGTTTTTTCTTCGATTAATTTTATCCTTAAGCTTACTAAAAATAAAATTAAAGAAAAAAAAAACTCATCCGAACAAAAGTCTTTTACAATAATCCTGCATATGAATATCTTTAATATTACAACTTAATAATTCCATCTCTGAAATTTGATGAAATCAATTTTGATAAAATAATAAAGCATTTAGAAAATTTTGTAGAAATATCGGATTTAACTTTTTGGTTAATTAATTTATTAGTTTATCTAATGCGAAATAATTTATTTTTTTCTTCTAATTTGCTTTTTCCCTTTATTGTTGGCTATTTACCGAAATATTTTTTGTTTATACAAAACTTTTTTTCAATTTATCACAATCCACTCAACAATATAAAACAAACTTTATCCGTCCTTTTTAACAGAAATATTAACAATCATTATCGTTTTTTTGTAAATTTTAATCTGTTTGCCAACGGAAAGTCACGGCCCTATTACTTACAAAATATTGACAGAACCGGTATTCCAGAATTTTCACTATTATCTGAATCAAATATTAACCATGTTTTCATCCTGTTTACTTTATTGATTTTTGATGTATATGATTTGTTTGTAACATATTTATAAATAACATTGATAATGAGTTATTTTAATTTAAAAACAATTAATTAATTGTGATTAATACATTTGTTAAGTAACTGTAAATTCAAATAAATATTAAATATTTCATTTCAAATACTTTTAGGAGTCTAATTAAGTTGAAACAGAGAAATGATTGATTTCTAAATAATATTACCAATGCAATGTTTTTATCCGTTATCACTGATTTCTAGAATTCCTCAATGCAATGGGGAATTCTATAAATCAATGATAACGGATAAAAATGAGCAAAATTTAATTATTATCAGTATGAGTTGAGGTGAATTAAAAAGTATAGCTAATTAGCTTTAAGGCTCTTACGCAGGAAATATCATTATTTCTATAAATGTTGTGATTTTGATTGTTACAACTACTAGTTTTTTTTGACTAACCTTTTTCAAGGAATTTGTCCGAAAATGTTAAAGAAAAAGCGAGCTATTTTGAAAATGTCAGAAAGTGAGCTCGAAGCTGTGGTTAAGGTCATTTCACCTGGCCGATCCCTTCAAAAGCGCTCAAAATCAGATCTTCAGGAGGAAGTAATCCGTTGGTAAGTGTTACATTTTAGATTTTACTATCATCTTGTTGAATATCCATTACAAGTTCTTCTAAATTTATTTCAAAAATTTCCGAACTACTAGTTTTGTTTTTCAAATTATTATTCAGTATTGAAAAATATCATTATTTAATTAAAATAATTAAATATGATTTTTTATATATGGAAATTTTCTTTTTTTTAAAAATAATTTTCTATGAGAGCTTCCAGGGTTTTGGAGAATGGTTTAAGAGTGAGTCATGAATTCACAGTAATTGAAATGGACGATGGTAATTATGGTGTGATTGTTGATAAAAATGGATGCACCTGTTGTCAGAAATTAATGTCATCAAGTGAGAATACATTTTATTAGTTACTAAAGTATATTTTAATTGTTATATATTATAAATTTTAATTGCTGAAATTATGGAAAAATATCATCTAAAGAAAAAGTATACTATCTCAAAGATTTGACTTCAGTGATAATTGAATAATCAAAAACTCAACAAATATTCATATTTAACACTTTCCAGAAGATAGCTTATTCGTTAGCTATTTCGTATTTCATTTTTATACTGAAATTTTATAATAAATTTATCAAAATGCACAATATCACAAAAGCAGATGACTTAAACTGATGTAAAAAACAATTCACAGTTTGGAACTTCGCCGCCATGTCAACTTTATCTTTGCCATTAGAAATTTTCGGCTTGTTATCATATTGTTGTTTAAATGATTCCATAATTATTATCTTATTTTTTTATTCTTCACAAATTTTATTTAATGCTTAATTCAATTTATATTTGCTTATGTAACTAACATTTTCCCGCTTTAATTTAAAGTTGCAGTTGAGACAACAGCTGACAAAATTCATTTTTAATGCTCAGTTGGACTATTTAGTCAATCGCTGCTTACACATTGATAAAGTTTTACACAGTTTTATATATTTCATTTCCCTCAGATATCTAGAAATCCTCAGAAAGTGAATGAATAAAGAAAGAAATTTCGGAAATACTTTTCACTCAAATTCCCTGTCAGTTTGTCTGTTCAAAATGTTTCGTTCTCTGAAAGCAAAATTTCTCATTCTCATATCGCTGTTCTTTTTTGGTTACTATTTTTGACTGTAAAGAATAATCGTTTTATCGGTCCATTTTTTCTTCATTTCATCAGCTATAATTTATCAGTTTGGAAGCAATAAGGAAAAAAAGTATTGCTATAGTTGTAAAAATATTATTTCTCCAGTTGTTGCCATTTCTTGAATTATTAAAATCTGAGTTATGCTACGATGTTATGAAAATAACTGCAATTCATAATCTTTTATTAGTAAATTACAAACAAAGTAGAGAAGAGTTTTGTAGTGAAAGCATATATTACAAGTGTTTAAATTTTGCTTATTTCGAAATTTTCTATTACTTTAATATCACTACCTTAGCATCTAAAAAAGAAATTATCCATTGCTCTCGATAAATTATTCATTTAGAATTTAAATATAAAACATTTGCATCTAGTGTTTTTTTTTCGATAACATCATAAATTCCAATTTTCTTTTTTAGCAAAAATTTCAACTTCTTCTTTTTTCATCTTTCAAAATTCAATAATGCATGCAAAATTTTGACATGGAAAAATACTATTCGTTTTAGTACTTTAGGTATATGAAAGCAACCGTTTATTATAATCTAAAATAAATTTATTAATAAATTATAAGGAAACATTCCATTACTAACATTCATTTCAAGCTCAAACTTTTTCACCATTCTTTCATTACTTTATCTTCAAGAAAGCTTAACTTCATTTAACTTTTAAAAACCAAAAAAAAATCAAAATATCAAAGAAAATTCGAAATCATTTAAGGGAGCAAAAAAGAAAAACATGAAATAGAAGCTAAAAATTAAAGCAATTCTGTATGATATTCCCATATAATCTCCGGCGAGAATATTCAGGCATAATACCATAATAATCCGAAGTTAGCACCCTCACAGCCTAACGTTTCGTTAAATATCTGTCATCGTTTATTTCAACGAATTTGATTTTTAATAGTGTATTTTGCTTTGAAGGTGCGAATCAACACATTAGAGAAGACATAAAGAAGAAATCGGCGAATAATTTGCCATCTGAAATGGCTGAATCAATTCGTATGGAAGAGAGAAATCACATCCAAACCAAAGCTAATGTTAGTTTCCCCTGTTCTTCCTACAAAGAAAGACTTTTCAAAGATTTCCAAAATGTTGAACAGTTCGAAATTGAAGCTATTGATAAATGTCGCAAGTTGTAATTTGAAATCTTCCTGAATTCTCCAACTGATGACGAAGTCGTGTGTGGGTGTGAACATAATACGCTGCTAAATTATGACACAGCCTGATTATTTTTGACAGAATAAAATACTGCCAGAAGTGTTTTGTTTGTTAATTATCATTAATATAACTGTGATAGCCTATTGATCAGTATGTCCTTTTGCATATCAGTTAAATATTCATATAGTAACACTTTAACGTTAGTGTTATATTTCCGGAAATATATTTAAGCCAACGCCTTCCCGACAACACGGCCCAAAAGAAGTAATTATTGGCACTCAACCATTACCGACAATTTTATCATCCAATGATATCACAACAAGGATCAATGAAGGTTATTACTCTTATCAGTGTTGAAATTAGAGAAGTCACGATAAACACGCAAGATTTTGCTCACCCGAATTTTATTTCAGAAATGGAAGAGGTAAAAGGATAAAGTCTTAAAGTTTAGACTTGATTTTTACAAATTTGAAAACTTGTTATTTTTAGCGAATGCGCCAAATGAATTCTTTTCAATATTGATTTAAGGATATTTTGTTGTAACTGCTGTCCACCATAAGCAAGTGAATGCATAGAGGTTACAGGTTTTAGAATAAATCCGGAAGAGAAATTTCAGACTGTAAAACGGAACCGGAAGAGCACAGTAAACAACAGAAAGACGTACTCTCTCAATGTTGCGCCGAATTAGGAAGTTGCTGTATTTCACTGCTCAGTAACTGTTGATTGTATCGTAGACAATTATTGTAATATAAAATGTGTATATAATTTTTAGAAGTGTAATTTTGTTACAGTTTAACTTTAATTTCAGCAAATTTGAATGTGAGAAATTCACATGATTCCCATTGACATTCTCGTAAAGGTTGACAATAAATTTTTCATGGAGCAAATGAAAGAGAGCAAAATTATTTTAATTATGTAATTTGTTTCATTCATTCCACTCATAAATAATTCCATTTCATTATTCTGATACAATGGAATTAACGTTATTGTTTATACTGGTAAAAATTTATTCACTGAAAAATTGAGAGTTAGTTAAAACATTTCATAGTTGACACATTAACAGTAATGTCGAATTGATAATAATAATCCAAAGTTTACATTAATTAATCGATGTCAAGCAATCGATTGATCAAAATCGTCTAATGATAGGAAGCATTTGTCCAATTTGATTATTTTGTATATTTTGATAAGGTTCCCTGCGAATATCAAGAAACGATCTGCTGTGAAAGTTAGTAAAAGTTACGTAGCGTGAACAGCTCAGCATGCATGCATGCATGCATAGTCCATTGTCTATGCATGTGCATGTATTATTCTGAAAAACGTAATAATTGTGAAAATGAAAGTGAAGTTAATGTGTGCTCGATGAACAAATGAACCAAATAAAATCGATAAAGGAGTGCACTTCGTATCGATTCATTTCAAATTATTTATAAGTAATGGTTGTTGTATGCAACGGCAAACAATGAATGCATTGGCGTGCGCGTACATGCGGTTGCATTCAGTACAATAACAGCACTTACAGCTGCTCTCTCTCTTCAACAATTCGACTCATCGACAACTTTCATTCTTCGCTCCTTCCATCGTTCCGTCGTCGAATCTGAGATGTTTCCCTCATCAAATGACACTTCTCGTGCTTCTCCCTCATCATCCCAACGTGACTCATCAGTATTGTCATCTGAAGACTGCAGAGTTTCATGGTACCGTGGAAATTCAGATTTCTCTCTCTCTCTCTCTCTCTCTCTCTCCCTCTCAACTAATACATGATAGCGATGCAAAAGATACGTCATCATACTAAACACTTTGAAACTTCCACTGCAAAATGTACTTTTATTTTTGCATGCATTGTAGATTAGCATTTGCATGCACTTTCGCACTTCCTCCTAATATTTTGTTCACCTTTGTGCATGCATGCATGCAGTTGCTTCACTTTGCTTTCCACGTCACAACCAATTAAAAATTTCATTGTATTTCATTCTCCATAATATTACAAAAAGAAAAGAACGGCTGCGTGGGCCCTGTGGCCCAATGGATAAGGCGTCGGACTTCGGATCCGAAGGTTGCAGGTTCGAGTCCTGCCAGGGTCGTGCGACTTTTACCTCTTTTAAGGTCAGACGAGCGAGTTTGGCATTTTTGTTCGCATACGAGAAACTGTCATCGAATGTAAGGTGCATAGAACGGATGTCAATAAAGGTTATCTGGAAAATGATGCTGGTATGGTATAGTTTCTCGATTAAGATGAAACCCGAGAATGACTAGTAATGATCATTCAGTTAAACTTCTCCGTAATAATATGAAAATTTGAAATTATCCTCTAATTTGCAAACTTAATTTAATTTTGTTGAGCCTTCAATTTCACAGTGAAAGCAGGCATTCTCAGTTAATTTTACAATGAAACTTACACAGCCTAATCAATTAACAATTCACCTTATGGATTAAATGGAAACTTAATTTTTGCAAATCTCATTATTTGGTTCCTAGCAATGTCTTGACAGAAAGGAGCGAGACAAATGACAGCACTGAGCATTATATTGCAGTATGCATTTCGTAATCATTGATATTATAATACTATCATAAGAGAATTATCATGGTAACAGTAAAAAAATGAAGCTAATTGCACTCAGATTAACTGTGTTCCACCTATTGCTTATCACGACAGTGATAGCTATCCCTGCTATTACTCTTCAATTTCCCCTACGGGCTAAAATCATGAAAAAATTTGTAGCAAAAAAAGAAGTGAAGGAAATTTGTGAAAAGGCAAGTAGGAAAAAAAGTTAAATCAATGCTTGAGCAAATGCAACATTGGACAAATAATAGTTAGCAATCATCGAAGTGTAAAACTGATTGAATAGAGTTAGCAAATATAGGATGAATTTTGATGAAAGTTGAGACTTTCATCAATAAAAAAGTTTATCTCGTCCAATTCAATCAGTCAAATTATCAGAAAGACAATCAAATCACCCAATTAATTAATAGTTAAGCAAGAATTTTCCATTAGCAGAAGAAATGAAGACAATGATCGTTTTTTTTTCCTCAGACAAAAGATTTATCAGGAGTCAAAGGAGATATCTTAAAAAATTCAAAAAAATAAGCACGAAACTAAATTTAAAAAAATATATAAATTTAAAATCATAAACAAAACGATAAAATTCTAGACTTAAAACTATTTAAATAAATGAATAGGCCACAAAATACACAGTGAAAATTCTCTACTTGTTGATCACTCAAAAAATTCATGCATATGTAAAGTTTCGAAGAGATTTTAGATATTTGAAACAGAGATTGCAAAGTTTTTTTTTCATCCAAAAATATTTATATAGCAACAATTTTCAGCTGCAACAAAATCTGTGCATGAATTTATTTCTCAATGTAAGATTGGTAAAATCTTTCCACTCGACCCTGGCAGGACTCGAACCTGCAATCTTCGGATCCGAAGTCCGACGCCTTATCCATTAGGCCACAAGGCCACACTGTCAACTTAATTACCAATAAAAATTGATTTTCAATCATTTGAAATTGTAAATCGACCAAAATTTTAAATGAAAAAATAACAACTTTCAGAGAAGTTGCAGAAGAAGAATGATGAAGGAGATGGACATCAGTTGGCAGTAATGCTACAATGGTGTGAAATGAATGGCGTGCGAGAGTGACCTTTGAAATCGATAATATGTTTGGGCTTTGAAGAAGGAAAATGGCCAGTGCAATAAAAAGTCCTTCGAATATTCTGTGTCATTTTCATGGTAATTGAAGTGATTTAAAACAACTTAATGGTAGTGAATTCTTTGGATTTAGCATTTTAATTTTTTAAATAAAATGAAGTAGAAGTTGCTAAAGTAGTTAGCTTTAATCATTTTTTTCTCACTTCGATAAAATTTTAGATTTTTGCCAGAATGTTTGGAAATTCAGAAATTATGAAATTCAGTTTTAAAATATTAGGGGAAGAAATGCTAACAAAGGCAATATATGATCCGGTTAACTGCATAGAAACTTCTGATTTTTTGGATAGAAACTATTTCAGGAAGGATAAGAATGATAAAACAATCGTATTCGAAATAAGAGAGTTGAAGATTCGGTAGAATGTTTTAGTGGAATGCTGAAATATGATGCTAAAATACTGCATGTGATTGATTCATTATTGATTGAATAATTCTGAGGAAACGTGAAAATAAAAGAAGCTTAAATATGAATTCATTGAAAAAAGGAACCGAAATGAGGGAGAAAAAATGATTTCTCTTCAGATGCCGCTCGATCGATTCCGGACAAATGATTTACCGTTTCATTAATGGAACGTTCCGCTTCTTTACTGATTTGCTCAATTGCTCCAAGTATCGTTCCAGTACTAGATATAATTATTTACCTGTGTACTTTCTATTTTAGAAAAATTATTGTATAAAAAGATTTAGATAGTTATGAATGAAGAAGGCAGCTAATTTTGTGGCTACTCCGAGCCCCTCTTGGGCGAACGAAGTAGACGGACAAAGTCCACAACATTTCTTCTTTCCACTCACTTCTTCAGTTAAAAAGTTTCATTAGCTTGAGTAGTCTTAAAACAGAAATATTTGACTACAGTGATATATAGATTCTTCATCGATAACAAGCACGATGGAATATATTTACGGAAGAAGTATCAGGTAAGCTAGAAAACTTGCATTAGCAATGGTTCGCTAGCTTCAAATGAGATCATAGATTTTAGAATGCTATCAAATCTAGATAATTAAATTTAAAAATTATTTCAAAAAACTAGACAATACCTAGTTAAAATGCAAATAGCTCCTTTAATTATTCCACACTCAAGGAAATTAGTCAATTTTTGGATTTTTGTGACAACTTTGTATCCAGTATTATCACTATTCGTAGAATTTGATCCAGAAAATCTTTCCTGAATCGAATACAATATCGTGTCCTCATCGCAGTCATCCGAGAATGCTTTTGCCCATATTGGCAACATACCGTTCGAAGTAAACGGTTCAATATAAAATGATAAATTATTGAAATGTTAGAGCATATTGTGAGAATTCTGCACATGCAAATTCAATCAGTAAAATATGCAAAATTTTGAGAGTGAAAACATCTGAAAAAAAGAAGGAAAACGAAAAGAAATGAAATGAATTGGAGGAAGTCAGGTAGTTTTTAGGAGAGTTCCTTCGTTTTCCCTTCCTGAAATTGCTTTTCTCATGAATGCAAAGGGCAGATGAAGGACATTTTCAAATTTTTTATAGCTATCCTCAATACCCGCCATATCCGATTTGCATTGCAAATTTGAGTGAGAATTAAATGAAGAATGCTGAAGAGATTCAGGCGGATGTATATAGCCGATCATACTCAGTGATAGCCTCGGGGAAGAAGGAATTTTAGTTGGACAGAAGAAATGATGTAGCAAATTAACAGCTTTTTGCTGTTTCACGACAAGGTATTATGCTAGTATATATTATAAGGATGAGTGCAGTCGATACGGAAAGCATATTTCAAACGAAAATATTTTTATTTAAACAAGATAGAACGAAGAACTAAAAGTCTGTTTTTCACAATTTATTCCTACCACTGCAGCTGTTGTATTACTCTCATATTGTGTTTCCTCCCGGTTTATCGTGGACAAATTAGTATAACGATTAAATTATCTTAAATGAAGTAATCAGAACATCTTGGATAAAAACGAGAGTTAGATTTTTCTTGCTTTAGATTTAAAGCATATATTTGTTTTAGATTCAAAAGCAATAAATTTAACCCGATATATCTATCTATCTATCTATCTAATATCAACAATTTATTTGAAAAAAAAAAAACTCAAATACAACGAGGAAGACATTTGTCATTCTTGAAATTGTGATCTCTTTATATATATTTTTTTCCAACGACATATTTAATAAAATATTTCATATGAACAAGAGAATCGAACATCAAACTACCAAATAAATGCTTTTTTTCCAATTACAATTGACACTTCTTTCTTCATCAGTAAATAGTTTTCCCTGGAAAATTTAAATATGCAACTATTAGAAATGAAAGAAATAAATAGATTTCCTTAATTATTTCTCAGCATTTCTTATTTTGCACAGTTGTTTGTTACAGTTTCTCGAGTTGTAAGAGTTACTTCTGTCATTCCTATTCTTACTTATCAAAAATGTTCGGATATGATTCTAATTGAGTCAACAATATTGGAGAAATACTTAATCCTTTCCATTCCAATGTTATTTATGTTTGTTTTTATTTGATTTCCCATATATTTGAGGATGTCGGAAAATAGAAAATGTACGCCTTGCGCAAGTGGCTGTCACTCCGCTACAGATGCTCACGTCTTCGTCAGTATTACTGATGCGAAACCTTCTGATAGTGATTATGAACTCCCACCAATGGTTAGTTTTTGGAAATTCTTCGCTTCCATCACCATACCACAAAAATTGATTCTTTCACTCTAAGATTATTGTTGTGAGTTCAAGAATCTGAAATAAACACATTAATTATTAATTACTGATATTATGGTATGACATAACACAGCATAAATGTTAAGCTTATCACTATCAATCATCTCTCACAATTTATTTCTGCAGCCAACAATGCAAGAATGTGACGGGATATGTGGTGACATATACTCATCTGATCAATTAACTAAATTTCCCTGTCTTCATGTCCTCTGTGGAATGTGTCTTAATGAATGCTCACTTATAGGTTTTACATTTTCGAATTTATCCAACTATTATTGTCTATGAATTGTTTCTTCCTTTTTTTTTTAAATTATCCAATCAAGCTTCCATTTGCATATCTTTAAATTATTGAATTTTTGCCTAACATGACGTAACCTGTGAAATTTTCAATTAATACTTTATGTTCATTTTAAAAAATTTTCCTAAGTTGAAAATTACCCAAAAACTTACCCGATTAATGAGTTTATTTGAAGTTGATAATATTATATTTAGAACGTGATGGTAAATTTTTATGTCCAATGCGCGAGTGTAAATATTTGAGTACGACCGCATTACGTATGCATGAAAGTGCTGCAACTTTGAACGATGATAGAGAAAGCAATCCGGTTGAAACACCCTCTGTATGGCATATTCATTAATTGAAATTTCATGTAAAACATTACAGATACGAAGAAAGTCTCAAAAATTACACCAAAAAAAAGTATCCTTAATTAAATCAATTTGAAAAATGTCACGCTCGTGATGTTATTAAAATGATCGGATGAATGTACATTAAGATCGACATGATCCATGAAAGTTCATCCTTCAAGTGTAACAGAAATATTTCTAATTTATAGGATGCTAATTTTTCCTCTGTGACGCCAATAACTAAATTAGATGCATCAAAACTCTCAGAATCAGAATCAGAATCAGATAAAGATAGAATGAAAAATGATTGATTTTTGATGAAATATCTGAAATTAAAAATGAATTGATAAAACATTTTATTATAGTGTATAATTGTGTATAATTTACATTATTCGTTTAGTAATGTAACTTTTTTAGAATTCTATCATTCAATTTGAAAATAATATGTAAATTTCTTCAAATGATGTCTGGAATAGTTATTGAATGAAAAATACCTGTGCAAACAATGTTTATTGATAATATAGAATCTAACGATGTTAATGGAATAGTAAAAATCATCATGCAATACCAACTTTTCAAAAATAATTTTGCTCAATTTTATAATTTGATTTATGCAATAGTCTTAAAATTTGCAAAATGAACAAATTGCTAATTATGTGATAAAATGAAACAAAAAGTATGGAATGGGTCGAATGGAACTGCATCGAGCTTACTGTTTCCAAAAAAAAATTTAACATTTAACATTTAACGAAAAAAAATTCAACAATTTAATATTCAAAAAATTTAGCAAAAAAAATTTAACATTAACATCATTCCTTAAACATTTAATAGCATCATTCAGAGATAATGAGCTGAGGCGTACGAGAAATATGGTTGGCAATAACTTCCTGTATAATTTATCTCTTTCTTCATACCTGAAAAAGTGTTTGTTATTTCGGAATGAGTTATTTAAATTGCATACAAATTATTGAGAAATAGTTGAAATTCCACGGAAATAAGTTTAAAAAGAAGAATCATTTGAGGAAACAAACAGATGTGAAAAAACGGTCCCTTTAAGGACAGCTTTTCTCAAATTGGTTTTTAATTTATTATTGAAAGCGGTTTGTATCATTTGTCTCATGTCTATCAGTTATTCTTTTCTTAAGATTTTGATGTTTATGCAGATGGGTCATTTGAATTTTGTTAATTTTGGTCGGCAGAACCATCGTTTGTCTTCTATATTAGTTCAATTGCAGGTTTTTTTGTTTGTAGTTTGTTTATGTGAGTTGTTGTTTACTAGTAAGGAGTATTTTGTTTTTATTGTAGTCCTTTCGATTTTTTCATTGGTTATTTTTTATATAATTTGCTATCAAACAGAAAGACACCAATGGTTACTTCACATCTGTATGACAGGTCTATGCCATACTGAGTAATCTTTACCGTTAATTAAAGTACAAGCAAAGTCCTTTTCAACATATGCTCTCCATTACAATGACAATAACCTGGTACAGTTATTACAAAATTAAATTTCACGTTACAATTCTTGGAAATATTCGAGCAATAAATTTTTTTATTCTTATCAATTTTTTTTATTCTTGTCCTTTTCGTTCTTATCATTTTTTTATTCTTATCAATTTTTTTTATCCTTGTCATTTTCATTCTTATCACTTTTTTATTATCAATTTTTCAAACTTACAGAAGATATCAGACTTTTTTTGAAAATTTTCTAAAAAAGCATACACATATGAATTAAATTTAAACCCGATTTCACAATTATTCAGCATTACACTACAGCTTTTCAATGATAAATAGGCAGACCATTGTGGATTTGCTTATATATCACAGAAACAGTAATTCAACAACATTGTTATAAATGAATAATGAGAATGGAATTTGCTATTTACACTGGTTTGCTAAACGATCAGAAATTAATTCTTCAATTGTATGTTCATTTCAAGAATGTGTCGAGACGATGATGCCAGAAATTTACGCTTCTAAATAATTTCTATAACGGTTTTTTGTTGCACAAAATTTTGAGTTGTTTTATAAAATACTGCTACACGTGTAATATTCTTAATCAAAATAATATGTTTGAAGAGATTAACTCTTATAAAACGTGTCGTCAAAAACTTATCTATTATTATGCTCAGAATCTGAATTTAACAGTTAATCGGCAAAAAAAGCATAGAAGAAAAAATGACTAGTCTCTTGGATAAACTATAATATTAAATTTTAATTAATAATAATTAAAGTTTTGCTTAATTTTCAACCGACATAATTTCCAGCTGACCTGATTGCTTCAGTCGCAGAAACTTGACTACGTAGCCCTTCCAGTGATGCAAGCAAGAAAAATGATTGTGGGAAGCGCAGTGCAACACCTTACAATTTGAGCATTCCTAAACTATTTTTAATCAAAGATTAATTTTCAAGAGCATATTACTATGACCCCAACTAAGTATTGAATATAATTTAGGGCATCTCACGTTGAAATAACCAACAATTTCATCTCGAGTGAAGACAAATTTACTGATTGGATAAAAAACAAACGCGCGCTATTTGGTAAACGACACATTTTAATCTTTCCTGTTTATTGTTGCATGATTTGCATATATGCATAAATGAATGGTATAAACTTAATCTGTAGGTGTTATTCCATAACATATACCGTTGTATTCCAATTCTCGATAATAGCACGAAAAGAATTTCTCTAGGCCGCTTTTCTTTTCAAAATTTTCACAATTTCACATCAAAATGTACAGTGAGATATGAGAAAAATGAAAAGAAGTTAATTTGTTTACCGTTAGTTCCAGGTATTTTCGAAATTCTTACTGTAAAAGTTTTATTGTAAAAGTTTTTATTGTAAAAGCATTATTTTCTTCAGTGTTACATTTTTCACTTATTAGTTTCAAATGCGAGACTTGCACGCAAGCATGCATGATTTGAATTTATATCACATATAATCTCTCTTTTGGAACGGAATAATCAGGCGGTACTGCAAATGTGGCAAACTGTGCATTTGAAACTAAACATTTATATGTTCAAGCTAAGTGAAAAACATTATGTTTTATATTTGGACACACGTAAACCGAATTCGCACGTGGACAGAACAATTAATTATAATTAATTACTATCAGAAATGGGATGACATGAAGACGGAGATAGCGCTGCAACAGAGCGTGTTGTGTTGGCGTGCATCCAGTGAGCGAAGGGTGTTTGTGGCGCGAAATGCATTTTCTGCTTTCCACGTAGATGTTGGACGGGTGAGGTCACGAGAGATCAGTTAGGTTGGGTGGAGTTGTGTAAATGCAGTTCGTATCCTTTGTTAGCAAGTAGTTGTGCCTTACTAAACGAAAATGACTTCACTAATCAATTCATCGGCAAACATAATCTTTGAACAGTTAGTTTCTTCCGAATTTTTTCACTTTTACTTTCTTTTGTTTGCTTTAATTTGGATTTTCTTTTGAGCAAAGTGGCCTTTCATAGTAAACATATGCAATAAATGTTTAATTGACATCATTCAGATAACATTTTGCCCAGTTCGTTGTATTCCATTGGTTATATAGTTGTGAAATTTTCCATTTAGTATAAAATGTTTTTCATTTTATACGAAATATAATGCACGAGACGGATTAGATGTATAGAGGAGAGTAATAATGAGTTGTCTGAAATAAATTGAAACCTCATAAGTTATGTTATATAAAACAAGGAAAGGTAACAGTGACAAAGTGTGTTGGCTTTGAATAAAAGAGAGATCAGTAAGGTCCGCGAGCAACATTGTGAGAATTGATTAATTTGATGAATTACTGCTTAACAACCGAATTATATTAGTATTTTTTTAGGTATTTGATAAGACTTACCAATATACGTGGGATCCAATCAGGGTTTGATATTCTAAAAGTAGTTGTTGATGTTAACTGTGATATCATTCCCTTGTCATTATTTCGCTGACCATCTGCATTTTTCTTAAATCAACATTCATTAAAGCCTTTTCTTTAAGCATCTATCTTGTTGTTACTTTCACTACAATACGAATGCTGGTTCTGAAAAAAATGGCGAAAAGGGGTATTACCTGCTTGAAAAACTATTTATTTTCATTGTTTAGTTATGCGGATAGTGATTTGTTTCATATAAAATGTTCTACGTCTTTTTGTCCCACTATAAAATATTAGTAATTTTGGAACTGATTGAATCATCAATTTTCATATGGCTAGACAAAATTGTATGCTCCTTCGGCTCCAAGGTTTTACACTTCTTCAGAGTGATTGGCATTTTTTCCCCGATTTGTGAGTGTTTCCCATCTTTCACGCCTTTATTCATACGTCCTTGAAGTAACGGCTCAGGTATCTGAGTTAAATGTAAAGGGGAAGAGAGAAAAAGTCTGTTCTGATTGTATATTATGTGACTGTATATTGTATAGCGGGGTTTTATCGTACATAGTTTACTGTAGCTTTTTTTGGCAGGAAAGCTTTAAGCTTAGAAAGTTCCTTGTTTCCCGTATTTCGACCAACTTTATCAAATTTCTGGGACAATAACTTTAAATGAATTTAATCAATATTAACGAATGTGATTTAATAATTATTTTGATGATTGTAATTAATGCATATGTTCCAATGGTTGAATATTTAATGCTTTCAGTTAGTTATTGAAACAGATTTGGAAAAAGATGAATAAGCTTACAACGGGTCAGGTATAATTGAATGAATCAAAACCTATCGTTTCAAAATCTCAAAACGACCACTAGATATATGATCAATAAAGTTCATGATAAATTTATTTTGCTAAATATATGATCAATAAAGTTCATGACAAATTTATTTTGCTAAATATATGAAGTGTGATGTTAGCTTGACTCTCGTCATATTTTATGAAGACGTTAAATCTCATTCGTAAATTGTTTTTAATTTTTTTTAATTTTTAACTTGAAGTCATTCGATTCACCCAGTAAAGAATTTAATTCATTGTGAATCGATTTTGCTATAAACTGCAATTCGATAATTTGTGTTGCTCAATTCATATCTTTTAAACAATTATCAAGCATGGTGAAATTTACTTTTCATTTAAGGCCAGAAAGGTGCTGCAGGATAGAACATTGCTTAGTTAAATCTCAACTAAGTCTTAAAATAAATCATATTGTACATGTAATAGGATTAATCTAGCTCTCAAACGCGAAGTTTTTGTATTGTATCTAGTAAGCAAATACTTTTTTTCGCATATATATATATAAGTTTATGTTTCAGGAATTAAGCAATGACATCGTATACACCAACAACACGTCAGGGTCATAATGAGAACGGTCATCAGCACAATGTCTATATACGACGCGGATCCGGAG